TCAAATGGCGAGAAAAAAAAACACAAATGAAGAAACAAAAAGTAGTAACAACAATCGGGAGAAACAGTACAAAAAAAAAAACACAATAGAAACAAAAACAAAAAATAAAACAACAAATTTCAGACTTCGACCCAGACAACCGACCGATTCCGATTGGAATGAACTGATGACTACATATGTGACAGAGTGTATGTGCGTTTGTTTTTTAGTCGCTGTGTGTGTAAACTTGATTATGAACTCTAATGATTCGCTAGGCTGGCAGAGTATACATATGTATATATAAAAAAAACAACAAAATATAGGGGAATCTATATAGCTGCGGGGTATGCCCAACTTCCCATTAAAGTATAACAATAATATTTGAATTTAAATGGAATTAAAGTCATACACACTTAATCCTCACTGTCTACACGGTTATTATCTCCGTCTGGTTGATGATGAGTAAATGGGACTTCAAAGAACTAGGAATTCATTGAGTCAACATTCTTTAGAGAACTAGGGATTCATTGAATCTACATTCTGGGGAATTTTTAGTCTCAATATTGACTTTAGACTTGTATATAGATTGGTGAAAATGGGGTTTCCCATAGCTTACAGCTTGGAAATATTACCCAGTTTGTAGAATACAAATATAAGATCATATATGCATATGTTAAACTTCAAAAAAGGGGATTTCAAATAATTTAAAATGATATTAAACATTAAATGAAGTCTCTATGAATTCCAATCCATTAATAATTCTAAAAAATTGTAACTAGTATTTAACGACCTTTACAAATTATTAAACAATTCAGTTTGCCCTTGCTTATAGTTCGCCATAAAACATCCTAAAGACCTATTTAACTATTACTGTTTAACATTACAAGTACTAAACATTTTTACAGACATTACAACCCTTGGATTATTTCAATTATTTTCTGGTATATAATATTTATTATTAATGATTTTTATAGACTATATAACCCTTGGATTATTTTAATTATTATGTTTACTATTAAAAATTTTTACTAGCACTATAAACCTTTGATTACTTCAACTATTTTGGGGGTCAGTCAATGACCAGACGATTCATCACGTGATTATCTGACGGATCATCATCATCATCATCTTGCTAGCGATTTCTTATCGAAGGAACTTGGATCCCTTCTCAACCAGTCGCCTCTCGACTGCATTGGGGGTGATTCCCGCCCCTCCCCTCTTCAACTAAACTAAACACCGCCTCTCCCCACCCACTTTTCAGTGCTCCACTGCAGCACTAATGATGACCTTGGGGAATGTTGTCGCTCGGCGTTCGTCAGTTGCTGTCCGGTCTCTAATCTCATGCTCAGTTGCTGCGGTGGTGTTACTGTGTGTGGTTTGTGCACTCAGAAAAATTTGGTATTACTTAAATTTAAATTTAGACTGCAAAATAGTATTTATTTCTATAAAATTCAGAACTAAATACGAAGTAAATTTACTAAATAAAAGGAAAGATTCATAGAAAATAGCAAACTTTAAGGTGATTTCCTTATCTTTTTACTTTCCTATGATACGAATTTAGTTCTATAGCTCTATAAATATCAATAAATATCTATAGTTGATTTACTTTAAGTCAAATTAATATTGTTGTCAAAAAAGAAGATTTTTAGAATCTTTTCATTGAACTTTTTCACTTAATTCAATTAATTAGCAAGGGAAAAGAAGTCAAGGCAATAGTACTTCATTTCAAATACTCTTAGAACATTTTTAATTACTCCTATTTATTTGTATACCTAATTACTTTTAATTACAAGTCTTAGGGTACTTTTTTCTCAGTGCTTTCTAGCTGCTGCGCTACTACCACCTTTAGTGGTGGCGGTCATGTGGGTGGCGCGGGAAGTGTTGTTGACGTCGATGCCCGGACAGGTGCTCAAGTCCATGGGTACCACGGGTATCTCTGGCCTGTATTGTGTGCCCGCCCTGCTTTTGGCGTGTTGGGGTCGCTTTTTTTCATACAAAAAACGTTCCACTGATAAGACCGGCTGTCCCCTTAACTCCTCACCTTTCTCTCTGCCTCACCGCCGCTGCTTCCAGAAGCCAAAGAAGCGACGCAGAAGCGAGTAGAAGAACCAGACCAGACCAGACGCTTGATAAGCGGCCATGGGGCGTATGAGCGATATATATATGAGCATACATATATACATATATGTATAAAACACATACTATATATGGCAAAAAACAAAAGACCTTGATTTGGCCCTACCTATGTGTCAGTGTGTGTCGTCAGATGTTTAATTAGCTTTCGATTAATTTAGTGGTCAATCGAGCTGCTACTTCGTGATTTTCTCATGAACTTTTTATTAAAATATTGCATATTATTTTGTACTTAAGCAAAAATATATTTGTTTGTTAGTCTTAATAGCAAAAAATAATAATAATAACCATTTTAATGGCCAGTCGTAAAGATGCTACGGAATGTGCAGGCAGGCCAAGCAAAAAGTGGGCGAAAAAGTGAGTCAAATTTTCCGTGGCAGCATACGAGGCGTATGCGTAACATTCTTATGCTCAAAACGAAGGGAAGGGGTAAGGAAGTGGGGAGGAATGGGGAAAACAAGGTGGGAGGCCAGGTGTATATTCGTAAAGGTAAACCCAAAGACGACAAAACAACAAGAACTCTTCTACTTTTATGTGCGCGAGTGTGGGAATTCCAACAGTTGTGGGGGAATTATTAGAAACACTTGACTATGGATTTAGTAAGAATTTATCTAAAATATTCAAATAAATATAATATATATTTAATAATACAAAGAAAATCCGTATTATAATCGAACTCTTAGGTCATGGCATTAATTTTGTATATTTTTCTATAAGAAGTCAATGTGATTCACTTAAATAAAAACCTAATGTGAAGAATTTTCTTTAAGAAGACAATTAGGTTTTAAACTTTTCTTTTAATTCTTTAAAGGATCAAAATATGAATAAGCTTTATGAAATATATCTTAATTTTTTATCATTTTTAATCTCAATTATATTCAAATCAATAAATAAGCAATACTTTATTATATTATATTATATTATAATAAAACTTTAAGCTCGCGATACTAATTTTATATGAATTTCTATTAAATGTTCCTAGTAAATAAAAAGTTATTATGATGAACCTTCTTTAAATGGAGGTTTAAAAAATCTCTTTTAATTGTTCATAGAATCAAAATATAAATAAAACTTTGTAAAATGTATGTTGATTTTGTAAAATTCCTGATCTAAATTATATTGAGCTCAAAACTACATACTAACTAACTTAATATTTATAATTTAAGCCCCGTTTCTATTATTTTAACCCTTTGTGTGCTTAAAAATGTAAAGAGGAAAAATGCTGAGACTGAGCCACATGTGTGTCTCTGGGTGTGCTGGGTGTGTGTATGTGGCTTTGTGTGTGCATGTGTGTGTGTGTTGCATAGCCAAGAGGCAATAGCATATAGCAATAGCAAAAAAAAAAAAACATAGCCAGCAATGGCAAAGTAAAAGGAAAAAGGAAAGGGGCAAGAGCAAGAGCAAGCGGCAAAAAGCTGATGAAGAGCTGGCTTACGCATGGGTTCATTGAACGGAAGTGATTTGCCTACTGCTGTGTGACAGAGAGAGAGAGAGAGAGAGAGAGAGAGAGAGACAGAGAGGGTACGAGTAGAAAGAGATAGAGATAGGGAACTGCCACACGCGACTTTGACTTGGTTTTGTTCAGTGGTTCCTCTATTCTATCAAAAAACCCTACTACGGCCTTTGTTTTCCTAGGCCAAAGCGAGACTAAAAAAAAACATACCCTGTGGCTCCGATAGAGCTGAAAAGATAAAGCTCTTCTGGGAAGTTCTTAGCTTCATTTTTTGTTTTTGTTTTGGTCTCCGTTTCTCAGCCCCAAAAGCCGACTTTAAGCGATTTTATCAAAGGCAATCTTCCAAAGCCATTTGGGTTTCAGGTGAGAAAATCACGAATTCAACGGAGTCTTTCTAATTAAGGTAGGAGGAGTTGTTGTCTTTTATCAGAGAGAAATCTGCCTGCTTTTATTTGCAAAGCTTATGTAATAGGAAAATGTTTATAAACAAAGGCGGAAAGGGTTGTCTTTTGATGATTTTAAATCTATTAACATTATAAAATTTACCTATGAACATTGAAATATATTATTCACAAATAATTTTGCTCATTTTTGATCCTTAATATGTGTTTCTTCTCAGTCGCAAAATAATTTAAGAGAATAAATCAAAGACAAATATTTGTTATCAATTTTTATACTTTCTAAAGTACCCATTATAGAATTTAAAGTATTTTGAAAATATCAACATATTTTCCTAATTTCAAAGTGTAATTCCCTTGCATAAAGCCCATTTGATTTCGTTTAAAATATGATTTTAAACATTTCAACATTTTCATATTCCTAATTAATTTTTCCCTCGTTTTCTAAAGCCTCTAAAGTCCGCCAAAGACACACCCCAAACAAAAAAAAAAAACTAAAAAAAATTAGTACATATTTGTTAGACTTTTCTTGGTTATTTCTTTTTTTGTTTTGCATTCTCCACCTCCTGCGGCTAATTTATTACAAGATTGTTTATGACAGCCACAAAAAATATTAAAGGGTTTTAAAAGCATTCAATGGTTTTTATTCCTATTTATTTTTTTGTCATATTTCTATATAGGAGGATATAGGAGGAAGGGGGGCTGTGGGAATATATCGTCTGGTGTGGACTAGTAAAAAATACCAGAGCTGATTTCCAAATTTATTGCATTTCTGTGGACAGTGGACATTTCTGACTGGACTGTCTGTCTCTGTCTTTTTTTTTCTGAACGAATTTTTATTGTTTTTTTTCCCTGTCGAGTGTGTGTGTGTTGGACAGGAAGTCGCCGGAATGCGATTTATAGAGAGCATATTTCAGAGAAACATGAATAGCATATAATTAGATAGCGCCCACAAGAGATTTGACAATATATTTCCTAATATTTCTAAACTTATTTTCCATTATTTTCACTAATATTCACTTGTTTTTTTAGCTCACCTTTATTGTTTGATGTTTATTTTGCTTTATTTTTGATTTGTTTACTTTGAATTTGGTTTAACTATATCCTTTTTATGATTAGAAATAGAATTGATTTAGGAATTCCGCTAATTTAAGAGCTCTCTGTGTGCGTTTTGGCATAAATTTCCTAAATTTTTGTTTAAACTTTCGGCATATTATTATTGCGGCACTTATCAGGCGACACTTAAACTTATTTCTTTTTTAATTCTTTTAGAATTTATCTAAGCAACACTATATACATGTTTTTTATTATTATTTATAAATATTATTATATTGGAAGTGTGGTATTTATAAGCTGTTGTTATTTGGATGATTTTTTCTTAACTTTTTGCATTGGTTTTTTGTTGTTGTTTTAATTTTTTGGTTTTTATTTATTGGTTGTTTATTTCCGTTGTTTTTGTTGTTATTTGCTGTTGTCGTTGATTTTTTTGCGGCGATTAGGAATGCTTTTGAATATAACAGGAACGCTGGCTATGTTGTGTTGTGTGTTGGTTTTATTTATTTACTGCTTTTTACTTTGCGCTTCACATTTATTTATTTTGTTGCAGGTTGCTGCTTTTATTACTCTCGATTCGTGGGTAATCCAGTATGATATTTATTTATTAACGAACGACGGAACGCACGCACCTCGCTCGGCGATCGAAAAATATTTGAATTTGGCGGACATTGAATTTGAGTTTTGCTCGGTTTTTCGAGCATAACAGTGCGCGAGCGCGGTTAACAGCGGGAACGGCTGGTGTTCCACTGTTAATGCAATGAGAGAGCGAGCTGGAACGCGGCGGCAAATGAACCTGGGCACAGCTTTCGAGTGTTTTTTTTTTTTATTTATTATTATTTAATATTTCTTTCTAGTTTTCGTTTTATTTGTTATAATTATCGGCTGGCGAAAAGCCGCGCAAAAATATTGTCTTGTGCACATGTACACACATTTTTAAGTACTCGCACTCACTGACACACACACACGCGCTTCCTTGGCTCGAAGTATGCCAGCACAACAATAACATTTCAGCGGCGTCGGCCATGACGTAACTTTGCCCTATTGTTTTTATTGTTGTTGCTCTTTTATTTATTTAGTTTGATTGAACAGATTTGGTTTTAACTAAGGCACCCACACACACACATCTGCTTTTGGTTTTATTTATTGCTATTTTTCGAGGAGGCTCGAAACACACACGTCCGCAGCGTCGGAGATTTTTTTGTTTTTGAGATGGCGAGCAGTGTTGCCGGGTGATGACCGGCCACAGCGGCTAGATGGGCAAAAACAAGCTAAATATTACAAATAATCTCTGGAAAACAAACTAAACCCAGGAAAACATACTTTATTGCATTCTTAAAATATGTAGTGATATCAAGATGATTATTAATTCATCGAGTTGGTTAAAATTCTGCTGCAGATCGTTATTTATGTTTTCTTTTGATAAGACAGATATATTGTTTAAGCTAAGCCGGCAGCACTGATTGCGAGAGCCGAGAGAGTCGGGCGCCAAAAATGATTCTCCCGCTCTGTTAACATAGTCTATTGTGCTGTTAAAAAGCAATGGTGAGCGAGTGAGAGAGCGCGCAAACTTCAGAGAGAGGGAGAGAGAGAGAGAGGCTGAGAGAGCAGCGCGCAAGAAACTGTGGAAATGAAACGGGTCATGAGAGGGGAGAGCCAGCTGTTAAAGTTAACAGCGACAGAGCTCAGAAACTTAACTGGCAAATTGCAATTTTATTACTTTGTCGTCATGCACTTAAAAATTACTTTATAGTTTTAACTTTTTTCTAATTTTTTGTGTGATTGCAATCTTTAATTTGTATATTTAAATGCGCTTTTAAAATTTGGATTTATTGTTACAACCAATTACAGTTTAAACTTTGTTAACAACTTAAACTTTCACTGCTAAGAAAATATTTTAAATTAATACATTTGTGTATTGATTTAACTTAAATTTATATTTTTTTTACTTGAATAAATTCTTTTAAAAATGATAATCTATTTTTTTATATAATTTAAACAATTTTTAGTATATTTCGTCGGATAATCTGGCATGTACCAATAATTAATATAATGTCTCTAATTATATTCCATTATATCTATATTTTTCCTACTTTGATACTAGAATAAACTCAACTTATTAATTATATATATATATATATTTTTTTATTATTCTCATTATTATATATTTTTTAACCATTTTGTGACTATTATCTCGCATTTTCTCCTCCTACTCCACTTTGCCAGCGCTCTTATTTGTTTTTTAATGTGAGCTTATAAATATTTATTTTACCTTTGTTCCTAATGTTTTGTACTATTTCTTTTTTAGTTTATTTTTTTGTGAATTTGTGAATTTCGGTTAGCTCATTGTCACTCGATTTTTTTTGCGGTTTTTCTGTTTGCCGACTTGAGCCGCCGTCCAAAGTCCAAGAAATTATATTGTCAGACAGCCGCTTGTGGGCGGAAGGGGGTGGTGTTTTAAGCAGGGGGAGTAGTGTGCCAACCACCGCACGTTAATTAAATTTATTTATGCAGCTTTATTTTGACTTTATTTAATTTTTTGTTTTGTTTTTATTTTTAATGATATGATTCACATGTGGCATTCTTTTGATGATACGCGAATTGAGGTTTTTTTTTTTTTTCTTGTAGTGGGACCCCAGTACCCAGTGATTGCGGGTATGCTCGATAATGGGAGCATCGATAAAGATTTAAAAAATCTGGTAAATTAATAAGTAAAATTAAGATAATATTTCTTTAACTGCAGCTTTATGTTGGAATATGTTCAAAGTTATTTATTTGGGAAATATTAAAATATTTATATGATATTTTTATATGTAGCTACATATATTCTCATACTTATTATATATTTTTATATTTTATTTTATATGATAATAATGTATCAGTTACCCATAGATATCAAATATTACCAAGTTTGATAACAACAACATTTTTGCTCACAGATCGACCTTGTTTTAAAATTAGTCTATAACTCGATTTTGAAGTAGATTTAATTAGAAAAGAAATCTATAAACAATTATATAATTACCAAGAATATAATATTTATAACATTTTCTGAATTTTTTTATAATATTTGAAAATATTTGAATGATAAATGTTATTAGATAAGATAGTCGCACTTTCTTCTCTCTTAAAGGATGGGTTCGAGTCCCGGAAGGACAAGAAAATATTTAATTCTCTTTACAAATCACTATAGGGTACCTGTTAAGTCGATTAATTGCGCAAATTTGCACAATATTCTTTGCCAGACACTTGGTGCTTTTGTTTTAAAATAGAAACTTCAAATGTATTAGCATGTCTACGGATTTGTTATTTTGTTGCTGGCTGACTAGCTGGCTGGCTAGCCGGTTGTTGTTAATCGAATGTGTTGTGTCGGCTATGAGCCCCACCCCCTCTCTCCCGCTCCCGTTTAATCCGCGCCCCTGTAACTACAGGCACCCCCGCTGCGCACTTTGCTGCCATCCGACATCCGGACGGGCGACAGTCGACGTCGACAGCCGACGACGGCAACAATTGAGACAACTTATCATGAAGTGCTAATTAACATTGTCTGGCCGGGGTCTCTCCTCTCTCTCTCACGTATGCCGGTGTCTGGCGACCTACCTGCGGTTACCAAGAGCCCCCGCCACCCCCTCCCCTGTGCCTGCCCGCCGCCCATGCACCACCTCTAGCCCGCCCAGGCAAAGGCAGCAACAAACAAAAAAAAACCAAAAAGCCTCACAATTCACCCAAAACTGGCACTTGGCCGCGTCTCTCTCACGTCTGTGTTTGCATTTTTTTGGCATACCAAGAAATAACAATATTTTGGTGTATACCCTTAAAGGGTATCAAGCCTTTGATCAGAAGTTTGCTAGGCATCATAAGAAAAGAAGATCTAGATAAGGCAAATTTATTATTGCTTAACTTCATTTACTTCAAACTTTGCAAATAGTTTTTAAATATATTGTAGAGCTATATATTGTATAGCTTTATTGGCTAAAATAAGGTACTTTATGTGCTTTGCTTTATTTCTTCTAAAAATATCAAACACGTTTTCTTCTCTAACCTGCATAAATTGACCCAGAACTTTGGCAATAACTTTTAGGGTATCAGGGTATCGACCTTTCCTACATTTATAGACACCTTTCCTATTTTGTTTTTCTATTTTTTCATACTTCTTTGTACACTAAATATTGCCAAAAAATGTTGTGTGGAAATACAACACAAATTACTATGTACACATTCGTCGAGACGGAACATTTTGTTTATGTTGATAATCTAATATGTGCTGACGTATTTCGTATATATTTTTTTCCTCCTCTTTTCTATTGAGGGGAAGATGGTTGCTTTTTTGTTAATTTTGTTCTTTTTTTTTGGGCGGCTTCTCTTAGCCACCTGGCCAAGGGAATCGATCGATCGATCGATTTGTTCGATCGATGGGCGATCAAGTGATCGTGCCAAGGCTGTGAGCTGTCTGTCTGCATTTATAAATAAATTGTGGCAATTAAATAAATAAAATAGATGCATATGCATGCAATTTTTTAATTGTCAGTGTGAAAGCGTTGCACGTGTCGTATACGTAATATGTGGTAGAGTCAGCCTTTACACCATTACCTCATCTCCCCCCTCCACCGATAAAGGCAATTAAACTTTGCCTTGGGCGGGAGGGGGAGATTATCGTAATGAGGGGTTTATCATTGCTAAATCAAGAGTTGTTTATTTGGCATTGGAAATATTTAATTACATTTCAAATAAGCAAAGAATTGTGGTAAATATATGTAGAAAATATTTGAATGGGAAGAAGTTATAGAATATATAGAATATACCATTTAAATAGATCTAATAACTTTAATAATAATATTTTAATAATTTAGGCTTTCATCTAAAACTAAGTTCTAAGATCTAATATTTACTTTGCTTGGTTTTCATCAATTTAATTAAAATAATTTTAATATATAATAATTTTAAGTCATTTCATAAAACCATTATAGAAATGTCGAAAAATAACATCGATATGCCATATTTATTATTTTATTTATATGCTAATTTATTTTTTTTACCTTAGTTGAATTTTTTTTAAGGTTTTCACCCTCAAATTTATTAAACCGTTTTTATTTTATACATGCAAATATTTCATTTATATATTTTGGTATTGATATTATTCATAACTCATTAATTGTCCAATTATTTTCTATAATCATTGTTTACATATTTATTTATCCATTAGGTATTTTGGGTTCAGTTAACTAGTTTTTTTTTATAGATTATTTTTTAATATATATTTTTTTCACAAAACTTTGTTTATACAATTTTAGGCGTGCACAAATAATTGTTGATATTTTCACACCTCACTTCCCTAGATAATTATTTACCAACAATTAATCGATGATACCTGTTCGCTGCTTATCAATTTGTTCAACTTGTGGGAAACTAAGAGAAGCACCTTGATTTCCGCAGCCTTTATATAGGGTAGAACCCATCGGAGGTGATAGAGTGTTAGTCATTGGACTTTTGCTATTGTTGCTGCTGCTGCTGCTGCTGATGCTGTTGCTGATGCTGTTGCTGCTGCTGCGTAGCTGCAATATCTGTCTTGACTCATTGTTGCCGCTGGCAGAGCGACACCGATTGCTGCCGCTTCTGCTTCTGCTCCTGATACCGCTCCCGCTCCCCCTCCCGCTCCCGCTGCCGATTCTGCTTCTGATTCTTCAGTTTTGTGTGATAAGCAGACTGTGGCGAGACAACAAAAGACATCGCAGACAAGCTTGCACTTACTTTACATGTACCGATGTGTGGTGGCGATGTGCTCTTGATATTTTTAGACACCGCCCGTCAGCCTGCCGCGGCGTAAAGAAGAAAATAAATATTATACGGGGTAAAAAAAAAGAAAGAAAATGAAGAAGGCTGTCCGAGGCGGAGGTGGTGACGGAGGTGGCGGTGGCAAATGCAGAGGCAAAGCCAAAGGCAAATGGCGAATGGCACACACAACTCGCATCGCCTCACATGCTGGCCAGACAATGAGTCTAGTCGGGCATCGGTTCAGATTCAGATTCAGATTCAGATACAGATACATCTACAGATACAACTACAGCTACAGATACAGATACATCTGTGATGCTGATTGCGAAACATGCCAGAGTACGGTCTCTTCACTCGGTTCATTCAAAATTTGCCGGCGATTGATGATGCATCGATGGCACACAGAGAAAAATGATTGAGATGATTGAGATGATTGAGGTTGAATATTTATCAAATAAATTGATGAAAGAAGATTTCAGCTACTTAAGGTTTTAACAAAGTATTTCTAAACTGATAAACAACAGTTTTAAGATTTAATGCATTCTTAATAAAATTTTTAATATTTAAATGACCGAAAATCATAATAGAAGTCCAATAATTCCAGAACAAGATTTATTCAAACATAACAAAATCTGAATAAAGAATAAAAACATTAAAATAAGACCAAATTAGGATAGGAAGGAATGAAAAATCGGATAGGATGGGATAGGATTAGGGTAGGATATGATAGGATAGGATAGGATAGGGTAGGACTGTGAAGAATAAGTATGTTATCTATGACCAGTAAGTAACTATGATCAGTAAGTATAAATGAACATGAAGTAACGATGATCACAAAAAAACTATAATCAGTATTAATAAGATTTATAAATATAATTAACTATGATCAGTAAGTATTAATGACCAAAAAGTAGCTATAATCAGTGAGTATCTATTACCACTAAGTAACTATGATCAGTAATTAACTTTGAACACTTATAAACAATGACTTGCAACTTTTGTAACACAAAACGTATCCGAGACTTGGCTGGTAGAAGTCACTTCATTCCGGGGATGTTTGAACCAGTTGGGAATCATATGCGCCATGTGCGAGATTTGGTTTGGAACAAATTTAAAGGTAAGCTATTTGAATAAAACTATGGAGTTATTATTCTATATAATTTTACTATTATATAAGTCGGAGCATGGCGAATCGGTGGACTATATATACATATATATAGCTGCCATAGGAACGATAGTATAAAAACTTCCTAATAAAAACATAATATTAATTTATATAAAACAAACCATAATATTTTGGTCCTGTGCATTTAGTTCGATTTATCATCGGTTGCAACAGGTACAAACAACATGGATGGGTAATGGAGCCGCCTTTGCTAATGAATTTCCTGCCGCCTTTCTCCCTCTTTTCAAAGGCGGCCAGCTCATTAAGCCCTCTATTGACTGGCTAAAGATGGAACAATGGCCAATACAAAAGGCTCCGGGTGCTTGAATCATAACTCATTGAACTTTTGCCGGCAGCGGCAGCCGGTGAAACATAAAAAGTGTCAATCAGTGACTCTGCTGTGGCAACGATGGTGACGCCTCCAAAGTCCCATTACAATGCCATTTTTATGGACACTACGCTGGAGGGGCCATTGCACAAGAAGGTTGGGCAGAGGCAGGAGACGGAGGAGCAGCAGGAGCAGCTGGAAAATAAGAAGCAACAGACGGCTGGCAGGGTCGTAAATGTAGTAATAATAGTCGCCGAAGGGCCAAAACATCGACGTTAGCTAGTTGCGGTTGGGATTTTCAGGGGGGGTTTGGTACTGAGTATCATCAGGCACTGAGAGAAAAATATCACTTTTTATAAGAATTCTAGCTTTAAAATAATGATTGAATAATTGATACAGATTAAAGAGGAATGGAGTTAGAAATACAGCTTTGTTTTCAGTGTCAAAAGGCTTTTAAATACCTTTAAATAAAAATATGACTTTATTCATCAAAACTTATAAAATCTTATATTAAATCCTCCACAAATTGATAACTAACATTTGTGCCAAATTGTAGCCTTCCATAAAAAATCCAATCAATTGCCAATAAATAATCCCCAGTGAACAAAGGAAGTCTCACAATATCAGTTGACAAGTACATATCCTTTATAAAGACATGACCCTTAAAAAAGGATAACCAAGTTACTGATAATCATAGCTAATAGTATTGATATAAAACTTACATAATACGGGCAGGTATGATTGATGTTTGAAAAGTTCTTGTAAGTATTGAAAAGGACTATTCCCAGGGCATCGTATGGTCTTCGCATAAATCGACAGCCATTCATTTTAAGGTTAACAAGCCAAGGTTTATAGCCATTTTCCCGTTTAAACAATCGATAATGAAGCACAATATCGTTGGTTGGTTGCAGAAAGGTGATATTTAAATTGAACACAGCCTTGTTGCGACTGACCGCCTTCAGGCGACAATAATTTATACTGATCCAGGATTTGTTGTAACTACTGCACACGGCATTTGTTAGCTTAAAGATCACCGAATCCTGACAATGAAAATTCAGGATATATGAAGGATATTTTTTGAGGATCTACAGAACTTACAATAGGTCTCCAGTTCAAGGCGTAAATGAGGCAGAGAAAAGCGAGTATTTTGAAGCCGTCGCTCATGTTTCTTGAAGGTTCAAAAACTACTAAATGCTAGCACCATAAATAGTTCCATATATTGGTTACATATTTTCTTCGTTTTATGATTAGCATCGCTATTTAATTTCAACTCCAATTAGTTTTCAATTACTAGTTACTGTTCATAGTAATGGATTTTTAATAGTTAGCAGTTAATAGTGGACTCATTAAGAGCACACGTGTTGTTTTTCGATTCGGTGTTTGAACTTTAACTAATTAATTTAAGGAAATATTTTTACATATTCTTTATTTATTATTAATCAAAACTTCTTTATATTTTTCTTTCACTGTGTTGCTTTGGTTTGGCGATCAACTCGCCGCCTTTGGCTGGTGTCGAAGAGCAAGACATAAATGTCTAACATATGTTGGGGATGGCTTTTAGAGTTGGCCATTGAAGCGACAGGTCTATTACCAAAAGCCTGCTTATGACGGGTTATTGGACGCATTTTGGGCCACTCACAACACAACAAAGCCACAACCCCAAAAAGCTTTTAAAGGATATACATATATCCTTAGAAAAGAGAGTTTCCAGATAAATTGAACATAATTTTTAATATGTGGGCAATAAATTTATAAATTTGTAATTAAGACAGAAATCGTTGAAAGATTGGTAAAAGAAAACTTTTTAGATATAATTTTAGGCGCCAATAGATTCCTAAAAAGTATAATTTAAGAGTTTATTAACAGAATATCAAAACATTATACTCAAAAATATACTTTTTCAATAGTTTACCAGAAATTATTGTTTAATTCTATATATAACAAATTATTTTATGATACAAACATAATATTTATTAACATTTGAAGCGTGTATTTATTTAATGTTTTGTGTTCTTGAACAATTACCACTTATTTTACGGGTTTTTTATTAACCAATATTAAATTTGTAATAATTTTAATTGTATAATTCAAATATATAAAAATTATTCCAGTTACCCTTTTTTTCTATTATCACAAATCCTCAACGAATTGAAAACTTACATTTGTGATAAATTGTGGTTTATGATTGAAGATCCAATTCATAGACAGCATATAGTCACCTGTTGGATATGGAATTGTCTTTATCTGTGTTGTCAGATACATTCCCAATACTAAAATGTCGCCCTTTTAATAACGAAATAATAATTTTAAAATTTTAAAATTCAATTCAAAATTACTTACTGTAAATGGACAAGTGTGGTTAACGTTGGAAAATCTTCTATAAACATTATATATTAAGACGGTAATGGGATCGTAGGGTTTTCTAAGGAATCGACATCCATCGACTTTTACGTTAAAGAGCCAGGGCTTATATCCATTTGCTCTTTTAAGCATTTGATATTCCAGGAAAATGCTATTAGCCGGATTGGCCAAGGAGGCATTGAAATTAAGTATAGTCTTGTTCCTGCTGATCGCCTTCAAGCGACATTGATTGATCGTAACGAAGGAGTTTTCATAGCTTTGACACCTAAAGTTGGTCAACTTATAGGTTACCGAATCCTAGGATATATTTAATACTTGATAGTCTTTGAGATTAGTTTCTTTATTAAATAAACTTACACTTAATTTCCAGGGGAGAATTAAGGTCAGTAAAATGACCACTCCTAGCGTGTTTCTCATTTTAGCTCCCGTTTAAATAAAAACTATATCATAAAATATTCCCATTTAAATACCTTAAATAATGTACATCTGCCCACTTAAACAATATTTAATTTTTATATATTATTTTATATATATATAATAATAATTATATAATAATTATATATATATGTATAATTATTTTTTAATAGATTTTAATACTTGTTAAATAATATAGAAAATAGACCTTTGGTTGTGCAAAATAAAACAAACATTTAATGATTGACTTGTCGATTAATAACTAAATGGCCCAAATATTAACTTTAAACTCTGTAGCTTTCTATCATTAAAAACTGTTGACAAAAATATTTAAATAAATTTGTAATTATTTTAAATGGATTTTCTTTTAGTATTTTTTTGTCCTTTAAACAATGAAGTGTCATAACCCCATAATCATGTCAAATGTGTATTCTTTTTATTTAAACAAAGATTACAAACGTAGGTTTATGCTATTTCGTTTATTAAAATGTAACAAGAAAATCAATTATAAATTCCAATCATATTATATTAAATTCTCCACAAATTGAAAACTAACATTCGTTGCAAATTGTGGCTTTCTGTAGAATAACCAATCTATGGCCAACATATAGTCGCCGGTGGGAATCGGAAGAACTTCTATATTGGATGTTAGATACATTCCTTTGATAATCATATCCCCCTTTAAATAAATATAAAAAATACTATTAATTAACACTTTTAAAGGATATTTTTTAGAGTACTCACGTAATATGGACAAGTGTGATTTATATTGGAAAAGTCCTTGTATAATTTAAATATGAATAAGACAAAGGGATTATAGGGTCTTATCATAAACTGGCAGCTATTCACTTTGGTGTTGATTAGCCATGGTTTGTATCCACTTTCCCGTTTGAACATTCGATTGTGCATCACTATATCATTTGTGGGATATAGAAATGTAGCATTAAAGTTGAAAATGGTTTTATTTCGACTAATTGCCTTCAGGCGACACTCGTTTATCCTGACCCAGGATTGGTTATAACTGCCACAAACTACATTGGACAGTTTATAGCTAGTTGTGTCCTAATAATAATTAGGATATTTAATAACTCTCTATAAATATATTTTAATATACAATAACTCACGCTTTGCCTCCAGGATATTAAAAATATTAGGATACCAATCAATCGCAGTGTGTTCTCCATGGTTTTTGGAGTAAAAATGTTTTTATACTTTTGTATATTCTATTATTAATAAAATCACTCATATGGAAAAAAAACCCTGAATTTGCTTTTAATGGTCTATTATTGTATTATAATTACATTTCTATTGATATTTAACTATGTTTAGCTATCTCATGGTGGGATTTTCAATAAGTACATATATTCAAAATTCACTGACTTTTTTGGACTATAAATCATATCAAATTCTCTATGAATTGAAAACTAATATTGGTTGAAAATTGGGGCTTTCTGTAGAATAAAAATTCAATGGCCAACATGTAGTCGCCGGTGGGCATCGGAAGTGTTTCTATGATAGGCGTAAGGTACATTCCTTTTATAACAATATCTCCCTTTAAATGAACATAAAAGATGTATTATTTAATTTAATTAATTTCATATTTGAGTACTCACTTCATAGGGGCAAGTGTGATTAATGTTGCTAAAGCCCTTGCCCATTTTATATATAAATATGGCAACAGGATTATGGGGCCTTTTCATGAACTGGCAACTATTGACTTTGGTGTTGATTAGCCATGGTTTATATCCACTTTCCCGTTTAAACATTCGATAATGCATCACAATATCGTTTGTAGGATGTAGAAAAGTAACATTATAGTTCAAAATGGTTTTATTTCGACTAATAGCCTTCAAGCGACACTCGTTTATCCTGACCCAGGATTGATTGTAACTGCCACAAACTAAATTGGACAGTTTGTAGCTGGTAGAGTCCTAAGAATAACTAGGATATACTTTATATGTTATATATTTTTTATTTCTTACACTTGATCTCCAGGTGAGTAGCACTAAAAAGACGCCTATCAATCGCAGTCTACCCTCCATGGTTTTTAAAGTAAAAATGATGTAATATTTCCACATTTTATTATCATACATAATATTCGAGTGGAAAAACCCAGAATGAACTTTAAATCGTTCATTATTTAATTACAATTATATAAACTATTGATATTTAACTATATTTAACAATTATATGGAAGTTTATTTTATAAATAATTACTATTACTAACTTTTAAACTCAGAATAAACAGATTTTCCACAAATTGAAAACTAACGTCAGTAGTAAATTGTGGCCTTCGATAAAAGAGTTGAAGGGCCTTAAATACATTCCAATTATAATCATATCGTCCTTTAAATGCTTTTTTTAAAGAAATGAATTATAAATTTAATTATTAAGCAGTACTCACTCAATAGGGATAAGTGTGTTTTATGTTTAAAATATCCTTGTACAATTTATAAATTTGTTTGTGAAGGAAGTGATTATAGGGTTTAATAATAAACATGCAACTAATGATCTTGATCTCTATGAAGCGTAGCTTATATCCTCTTGAACATTCGATTATGGATCGACATACTATTTTTTGGGATAGAAAAAGGATGTATAGAAATTTAAAAACAATTTTATTTCCACTTATCACCTTAAGGTAGCACTCCTTATTGGTCAGCTGTTGGCATCCTGGTAATTTATAGGATTTATAGGATATATAATTGTGTCACCGCTTCACTAAATTATAAACACTTACACTTGCTTTTTAGGCAAGTAAATCGGTTAGGACACCAACAAGTTTTAGTGTTTATGACATGATTATTACAAGTGAAATGATAGTGCAATATTGTATTTGTATTATTATATAGATTATTGAAATAGAACACTGAACAATTAGTACCTACTGAGGCCTGAACAACGCGAAATTCATTTCTATAAATATATACATAATAAACTATATTAAACCAACTATACGATATACATATTGTATTTAACTAACTATACGAACTGACTATACGATATACATTTTCTTTAATAAAAAAACTTTGGAAAATCATTTAAGAAAACATATTTAGAAAGCAAGTACCTTTACTTCTTCCATGTACCTTCCACATTCTGTAGAAAGTAAAAACTCAAAGAATACCCTTTAAAAGAACCCCAAGAGACCCATAAAGACAGTAGTAAAAATCTGCATTTAATGTCACCAAATTCATAACCTAAAGAAGCAAACTGGCAACATGTCGCGTAAATGACCAAAGAAGAAATGACCCAGCACCCTCCGTCATAAAATCCAGAAGGCCCAGGCACAATGAGGTGCTGAAAGTCAAAAGAGTTTTGTGGCAAATTCTCATTATACAAATTGCACAAGGAGGTGACTGCAGAGATTCGTAAGCAAAACGAGAAAACGAGAACAAAATGCTAAGAAGTCAGGCGAAGAAAGGCTTCCGGGAAACACCTTTTGCGGCAGCGACATTGATGGAATGACTGACAGACATGGCAATCCAAATCCACCGAAAGTCTCACTGAATTCACTCGCATTCAAATGAAATCCAAGAAGTCGAAGTCGGGCAAAAAGAATCTATTAAGATATTATTATGGGAGGGTGAAGGGTGACAAGAGCAGGCTGCTTCGGGGGTAAATCTCGGCATGCAATTGTTGCAGACAATTTGGGTCGGCAACTGGCTGCTGAGCCCACAATTGCGGCCATTAGTGAAGGAACTGGGGAAACCAAGAGAGAGTCTCAATCCGCATCTGAATCTGAATCCGAATCTGGAATCCCTGCGTTGTCGCCTGAGTAGGGTAGTCCCTGTTCGATGCCAAAAGCAACCCTTTTTTCTTGTCTCGCCCCGTCGTGCAAAGGGTTTTTTTTCAGCTTTTGCGTTCATTCTGTAGACATTTTTCGTATGACAACGACAAATATTTGCCGGATAATATGAATAACAAAGCAGAAGGCATTGTAGGCGAGAGAAGAGGCCACATCACAGGGCCAAAACGAGGCGTTCGGGTGGGTGTTCCACTGTGTCTCGGTGGCTCGGTGTCCCCGGTGGGTGGTTGCCGGGTCGAATCCACGGGGTGGTTAGCCAGCCGCCAGTCAACCTACTTAAGCCACAGTTAGAGACCCAGACTCTTGTTGTCCCATTCTGCGATTTCGAATTTTGCACAGAAACAAAATGATACTGAAGTTTATAGGTCTTTTAAAATAAGATATAAAATCCTAACACAAATTATTCTATAAATTTTTATACTACTTTCTAGAGAATGTCTGAAATTGATCAGGTATTCAAGAGATTCTGGGCTTGTTTTGACTTCAAAAACAATATTTTTGAAGTTAAAAGAATGCAATGAAATGTTGTATTTGAAAATCAATTGGCAAAAACAAATTAAGTTCTCAAAATTCGTTTTTTAATCCTTTTTCATGTACCCATGTTAACTAGAATGATTCTATGTATATTTAATAAATATTTAAATACTTTACTTTCTACTTTAGAAACAATATTTTTGAGGCTAAAAGAAAGCAGTAAGATATTGTACTTAAAAATCAATTTGTGGCACAATGTTTGTATTACAGTATTGCTTTTGTTTCCTGTTCCTGTAGAAATTTTACGTTTTTATGGTCCCTATATTTAATCGTTTTTTATATACTCTATAGTATTTTAATTACAGTGTAATTCCGTCCGGTGCCAGACGACTCCAACTTAAACTAAAAGGCTGCACCATGTTGTTGCTGTCGCTGATATTCTCGCTGTTGTTGTCGCCGGTGTCTGAGACGCAGACAACTTCAAAATGGAGCAGAGCCAGAGACGGAGTTGGAGTCGAAGTTGGAGCAGGAGCAGGAGCAGGAGCAGGAGATAGCTCCGGTGGGCTCCAGTCGACGCCGGACTCACTGACACAAAAGTGCTTTTGTTGCAAAGTTTAATGAAGAAAAAACCTGGATGGTGACGAAGGAGGAACAGATTTGCTCGGGCAAATGAGACATAAAAAGCTTAGGAGAAAGTAATACATAGAAAGGGAATAATTAATGTCACCGAATATAATAGGAAATATTTATAAGAGGCACGTGATTTATAGGAGTGGACTAATTAAATTGAATGGGGTTCGATGATTTATTTATAGTTTCAAAAAAAATATAAACTTTTTTGTATTTTAGGAAGTAAAATTTTCTAATAAGGAATAGAAGTCATTTAAAAACTTGCTTAAATGGCGTTAATCAGTGATCATATTTTAACTTAACTTCAGAGATTAAGTAAATATACAACCCAATTTTATAAGCATTGAAAAAATACCTTTATGGCTTAAGATTTATCTTCACATTGTTTTGTTTTTTATCTTTCAAAATACATATCGTTTTTCAACAAGTTTCTAAAAAGAGCCTTGGTATTCTTTACCATATAATTGACGCGTTATGGATCTTAAGACTATAGTTAGTGGCCTGTTTTTGTGTGACACTAAGCTGACTGATGCGACACCGAAATGCCTCAAAAGGCATTAACCCTTCTTGTCAATAAGCCCATAGCCCCGATCTTTTCTGGACACTGTCTGGCCATGCAGGGCAGGGGTACAAAACAACAAAAACGAAAAAAATGCATAAAAGGAGTAAGAACAGGAGAAAAAATATGAGAAACGAAAAATCGAAAAAGAAGCGAACAAAAAAGGGGAAAAAACCAAGTGCATTGCAGCGACAAACAAAAAAATTGCATGCTGAGCTTTGCTGTTGCTTCGCCTGTTGTTGTTTTTAGTGGTGTTGCTGCTGCTGCTGCTGTTGCTGTTGCTGCTGTTACTGCTGCTGCTGTTGCTGTTGCTGCTGCTCCTACCTCTCCTGCGATGCACTTCAGACGATGATGACGACGACGACGACGCTTGCTTTGTTGCAGCCCAACACAATCGACACGCAGACAGGGGCGCAGTGAGGGGATTTCGAAAACACAGACAGGGGCGCAGTGAGGGGATTTCGAACACACAGACGGGGTCGCGAAGGGCCCTGCCAAAAGGGGGGAGAGTGAAGGGCAGTTAACCGGAGACACCGAGGGGGTCAGGCGGAAGGTAGAACTGCAGACCGTGGCAGACAAAACAATATGTTTGTTTGGATTATATCCTACATATACACACGATTCGCACTCAGGAAGAAAATATGTGGAACAAAACTATAGATATTTAGTTTCTTTTATTAAATATATAAACAATTGCTCCCAAAAAACGTGTA